TCCCTCGATTCATCTCTCGTTGACATGAAAGTTTTTATTCATAAAGTAAAAAGATTCATAAATCATATAAAGAACATGTTTTTTGGAATTGCTGCACCAATTTTGGATTAATAGTACTTTAGCCATATCTAATAGAAAGAGAATTACACACAAGTTAAAGATGAAATCACAGAGCAAAGTTAACTTGGCCTATGACATAAGAGAGCTTAATGAGCAAACCACAGTGCTGCATGTCACTGTGAAGAAGACAAAACTTATGCAAAATCACCAACACATGGTGCCGTTTTTCTCACCAACAGCATGTGGAAAACTGATGTTCACTTCTAATAACACGTTCGATCAAAGATCACTTTCAAGAGGTTATCTTATAAAGTCTTTTGCTCTGACACCACTTCACATGTCTCTGATTTAAATAAACGTTACCATGGAGACTGCATTCATTACCTCATACTGAAATGTAGGACCCAATTTTTTTAGAAGATCTAACTTAAATGTTTAGCAGCTGCTTGTGACATTTATTATTTTAGATATCATGTTTGGTGTACTAGAAATAGAATGATAAAACAATAGATATACAGATGGATGGAAAGACAAAAAGAAAGCTATTTTAATGGACAAAAAGACAAAATGTATGGTATTTAGATGGACGGAATCACAAAAAGAAAGGTATTTGGATGAAAAGACAAAAAGAAAGATAGTCAAATATATGTAAAGATAAAATGAAAGGTATTTGTATGGACGGAAAGACAAAACGAAAGGTATTTAGATAGACGGATAGATGTACGAAAGAATGGATGGAAAAATAAATATATATGGATGAATGGATGGAAAGAAATATATTTGGATGTATAGATTGATGTAAGGATGGATGGGTGGATGGAGAGACCAATGGATGGATGGACTGACAGACAGATGGAGAGACTTATATTTGGATGGATGGATGAATGGATGGATGGATGATGAATGTACAAACAGACTGATGGATAAACAGACAGACAGATAGAAAGATATTTGGATGAATGGATTGATGGATGGATAGAAGGACAGATTGATGGACGGATGGATGGATAGATGAATGGATGTATGGACAGAAAGAAAATATATTTGGATGGATGGATGTACGGATGTATGGATAGATGGATATTATGTTTGATGGATAGATGGATGGCAGATTAATAGAATGACAGAAAGATGTGTGCAAGCATGGATGCATGGGTAAAATGTTTGATGGTTGAAAGAACAGAGGGACGGATGGGTGGAATGACTAGTAGAAGGATTAATGGATGGATAAGAAAATTAAATAATGGATGGGTGGATGGATGATGATGACAGATAAGTGGATAGACAATAAGACTGAAATACAACAATAGATGGATGGATGAATAAGTGGACCAGTAGAATAGCAGAAAAATGGATCGGTGCATGGGTGGGAAGAATGATGGATGATTGAAAGGATAGATGGATGAATGGGTAAAATGGATGATGGATGGAAAGATATTTGGATGGATGGATGGATGGATGGGTAAATGGACTGTATAATGGCTAAAAGATGGGTGGAAGCATGCACTAGATGCATTTGAAAAATGATTGATAGTTAAAAGAACATAGGGATTGATGGATAGAAAGATAAAATGCTTGACAGATGGATGGATGGATAGATGGATGGATGGATGGATGGATGGATGGATGGATGGAGGGATGGATGGATGGATGGATGGATGGATGGATGGATGGATAGACAAAAAATCTATATTTAAATGGCTGGATGATGGATTGTTAGATGGATGGATCAAAGGAAGGATGGAAGGATGGATAAAGGGTGTTACAGGTGGAAGGATGGTTGGACAGAAAAATGGATGGAGAACAATGGATAGATGGATGGATAAAATTCAGAGTTGGATTTCATGAACGTTTCAAGATAAACATTTCTGCCAAATAAAGCATCATTCTTTACCAACTATCAATAAAGCCATTTTAGAGAAAACAGTCAGAACTTTCCAATGTCTTTCTTTTTTCTGTGGTTAAAATGAAGTACTGACCGGTTTGAATGCATTTTAGGCACTCAAAATTCAGTGGATTATTCCCACATATATTATTTTCCAATGTCTTGGCTACACTGCATAGCACATATCTCAATTATGCGCTCAGTACCTGCTTAAATCTACATTACAGTCATTTACTTAACTGCCTGCTAACCAAATAAAATGGAATGAAATAGTGTGGTAAATTGTTCAACAACATCTTCCAGCTGATTTGCAAAAACCATAGATTTTTCTCCGGTTTTAGCACTTTTATACATTTACTCTACTGAAACTCTGCAGATAAGAGGATGAAACTCTGTCCACAGTCTAAAGTCAAGGGATCTTGATTGATCAGACAAATGATAATGGGATACACAGTCCATCAATGTAGACAACTCAGCAAAGGTCTCAGCCATTCCCACTGAGGAAGTAAAAACCAGGTGAGCTTTACAAGAAGCACAGTTTCTATTCAACATCTGCTCTGAGAACACCTTGTTAGTCTTACGGAGTGTGAATGTTCCATAGAGAAACATCCCACATCAGACAGCTTGTAAATACGACCAAACTGGAAATTGAGACTTTGCAAGACCGCCATAGTAAATTAGAGTTTTCATTAAAGTACCCAACATGTGGGAAATTATCTTAAAGCTACAGTATGTATTTGTGACACTATAGTTATTAGCAAGAAAGAATGATGCCTGTGTAAGAACACTGCAGCAAATGATGTATTATGCAAGTACTGGGCTACTTCACAGCAAAGATCAACCTGACAAATCTAAAACCCAATATTAACACTTTTTATGGGTGTACAGTGTTGATTATTATCTTATTCTAGAGTAGGTGATTAGATTGCCAAAACTAAGCCCTTTAAAAATGTTTGAAAAGCTGATTATGGTTTATGTATTCCACAATTATATGCTATTCAAATAAAATAAAATACATCCTCTGTTTCATACCATTTTAGTTTAAAACGCTCACATAAGAATCCCCCTACAACAAAAGCACCCCCAAATCAATTCAGTAATAAGCATTAGACCAAAAATTTAACCAGAAGTCCATGTGAGGGAGAGATTCCCATCCATTTTTGTCAGTCAATGCCCTTTGACCTCTGGTATTTATGTGAAATCCCCATTGAGATTTAAAGTGAATGTTTTAAATGAGTTAGGTCAAAAGCAATCAGAAAACAAGTCAGAATTAATTATCGAATATACATATAGATCACATTACTGACGACAATTTTCATCATGTGATTTATAATGCCTAACAAACAGTTTGAAAGTAATTTACCCAGCAGAACGTGTACTATAATGATTCAGGATAATAATAAAAACATGGTAATATAGTTTGTTATATTGCATCAACATGTCAACTAATTCTCATTAGATTATAAGTAGACTGTTAGGTTGGGGTTAGGGTTATTGTAAGCTGACATGTACTTGCAAAGTTTCTTATAGTCAGTTAAATGTCTGTTGAAGGAGCAGTATCACCATTTTAAGCAGTCTACTAATACTCAAATGAACCGTAAAAATAAAGTGTTACCAAATCTGCTGCTGACATTTTGTACAGTAATGCCAAAGCATCTTAGATATATATAAAAATATTTAATATATCAACATCATCAAATTAAAAAATATATATATACAGCAAATGAGAAATAAATGACATGAATAAAAATAGACAATAAAGTATAAATATAAGAATTAAAAAAATATTATTTAAATAAGGATAATTAACCATTAATTACTCATTTTTAATGGTGTACAAATATTTTGCAGCTAGTCTAGATGTAATGTTGTCCTCTATGAGTACATAGTAAAGTTTACTTTAAGGAAGAATTAATTATTCAATGTTTCTCTCACTCGCGCAGCTGTGCATGTGCAGCTGCTAAGCCAAGCAAAAGTAAATCAGGCTTAAAATAAAAATATAATGCACAAATGCATACAATAAACGACGACTTTTGAAAGCAAAACCAAAAGCTGAGTCCAGGACATTTTAGGATATTTAGAAAACCCATACAGACGCCTTTTTTAGTGCCAAAGAGCCGCATCTCTGCATAGCATGTGAGAGTGTTGACAGGTCTCATGCACGCAGAACCAGAAGTAGGAATTATGTACGGCGAGAGAAGATTTTCCACTGGTTAATCGATCGCGGATGTTTGGTTATTGGCCAGATATAAAATAAGTGTAAAAGGATGATAATAATAATAAAAAATAATAATCACCAAATGTACTTGTGTGGCCATTAATATACCTGGGTGGCCTGCCCAAATAAAGTCTATGTGTGAGAAAACCTGGTATTATATTTGTAGTTTTTCTCTTCATCTTAACATATATATATAAAAGAATTACCAGGTAAAACAAGAGTAAGTTAAGCAGAAATGCTCATATACTCAATTAAACCAACAGGAATCTAAAATTGGAACAGGATGTTTTCAATGAAACAAAACAATTCCAGACCTACTCAACAACAATATTAAGAAAATGTGGTATAGTGCAACAAAATAAACAGGCTTTTGTAAGAATGAAGCACCACTGCAATCCAAAGCAATAACAGAGAAGCACATGGCAATCACTGTTATTATTACTTTTAATAAACTCCCACATAAAACCAATGAAAGAAGAACCATAATCTCATTTGAGACGTAAGTATCATGTTCCCTTTCTCTTTTCCCCTCATCTCCTCATTCCAGCCTAGATCCTGACCCTATAACCTGATCACTAAACTCCAGACAACAGTTGCAACTGGTAGCCGGCTGTCCGGAAATAGACACAGAACAGGAGAAGTGAATAGCAGGGGTTGTGATTATGGGTGGGGGATTAGAAGCTCATGCCTTCAGATCCCTTTGTGCCAAGGGGAGGAGAAAAGTGGAGAGGGGGTGGACCAACCCCAATCCCAAAGCCCGTTGTATAGGAGAGAGAGAGAGAGAGAGAGAGAGAGAGAGAGAGAGAGAGAGAGAGAGAGAGAGAGAGAGAGAGAGAGAGAGAGAGGGAGAGAGAGAAAGAGAGAGAGTGCAGAAAAAAAGTTACTGCAACAGAGGTGATGGACTTAGTCCAGTAAGACTGACAGGGAACACACAAACTCCTCCTGAGGCTGAGAAGAACATGCTGGTGGACTTTCACAGCTCCCCAAACCCCAAAATCACAGAAGAACCAACATCTACAACCCATAACAGAGATTTCTTCTGATTTTCTGAGGTCTTCAAAGCCCACCTCTCTCACTCTTCAACAACACTTGAGAGATTTTAACCTGGAATATATATTTTTCCAAGTTACAACCTAAGGACTTGTGTTATTTAATGAAAAACTCTGAAGGATTTGCACTTTATTTGATGCATTCATTTCATTCCCTTGAGAGGAGGACTTGTCAGAGTTCTTGAGAAAAGAGTCATCACAAAGACAGTGGTGTTTAATTGAAGACTGAAGACCTGACACCGAGGACATACTAACAAAGAGAGACACTGGGGGATTACGACAGACACAGAGAGAATCAGAAAGTGGGAGAAGACAGAGGGATACCCCACAGAGCAATCTTTTGCAAGCTGTGATGCTGATTTCCACAGAGTCTCTTCACACGCTTTCTCCTAGACATTGACGGATTTCAAGAGGGTTCTGTGCAATAGCCTGGGATCATCTGGTAAGGCTAAGGTGAGCCCTGAGGCTCTGCTCACTCTCAAAACATGTGTAATTGCATCCGGCTCAACGCCACAATGCTTGTGCTAATCTTGGAATCAACTATTAAACACCTGTTTGTGCTTGGCAGAACTTGCGTGCCTTTTTCTAACATGCTCAGTTTCGGGGGTTGTTCTGTGTGCTTTGGTAATGGTTTTTAGGGTTCACCCTACCACGTAGATGGTGTCATGGGCTGTGTGGATAAGGTCTGTTGCCTCAGGCGACATCCCGTTCTGATGGTTTAAGTGGAGGGTTAATCTTTGCCAGTCCTACGGGGTTGCTGAGGGCAATGGATGTGAGAGATTAGGGGGCAGAGGTTTTTTTTTTCAGTGGTTGAACTGGTAATAAACAAACAATAGTTTGTGATCATTGAGAATCCCGGACACAATTTAGAGCAATAAAGTGGCCTGTATTATTGATGACGTCTAGAAAAGGTCTAGACAGGTTTACGAATACACCGAGGTGTGAATAAGGGAAATGGAAATACAAAAAAAGTGCTTTAAAGAAACAAGAAAGGAAATGTGGGCTTGGAGGTGAGGGGTGATTCAGTTTTATGACCTTGAATTTATAGTTTTGAAACTGGGAAGGGGAACTGAATAGGGATACAAGCCGCATTGTGTGGAATTAGTAACAATGTAACTAGCTAATGTTATAAGTTATGTTCCCACTGAAAAGTTAAGGTAAGGGATTCGTTTTTTACTTTTAGGTCATTTACATACAATTACTTAAACTGTACTTGCCTAAAATACTGTGCATACATTCAACAGATCAGAGAAGCAGACTAATTGAAAACTAAATGAAGTGAATCAACACAATTCTTAACGTCATTGTTTTATGTTCAATCCACTTAAATTCGTAAAAACAATAAGCCAACTTAATTAATTTGTGTTTTAATTAATTTATCTAAACTTAATTTAATTTGTGCACGACATAAAGGAATTGTGTAAAACTCAGCATTTTTCACAGGGAAGGTTAGATTTGTAAGACGATTACATGTGCTTAAGAAACAATGAATTGGATAGGACATTATTGTCAATATATCCTATGTATGAAATATGGTGGTATTATTTCTTTGCAAAATTCTGTATTTTGATAGAAATGTTTAAAATTTCTTAAGTATTTATTGAATAAAACTAAAATATCCTGTCATATTCATGCGATTTGAGCTTTATATGCTTTGAGATTTATACAGATTTTAAGTAGTATTGAGTCAGGTAATTCAATTACTCATTGAGTAATTCAGTTCCTTTTGAAAGTTATTTGAAAGTAATTAAAATTTTAATCATGTAATTCTTGTTATTTAATTACTTTTTTGAAGCAAATTACCCTGGATGGGGTCAGGGATAGGATGCTCTTGATGGATACCCTACCATCAAGAGCATCTTGAGTTTTTCTCTTCTATTTTGCTACTTATCACTCTCGGAAACAAGATTTGCCATCAGAGTTTAGTTAGAACTGGCTCCAAAATGAGTGGTGTGCCTTTGCTGAGTCTAGAAGAGTTCTATGTACAGAAAACTCTAACAAAAATCTAGAGTATAACAGAGGATGACTCTCGTTCTTTAAGGTTGTATTTTAAAGTAATTCCATCTGGAAGAAGATTTAGAAGCATTGAATGTTAATCTAATAAATACAATTTTATTTTTGTTCCTGATGCTATTAGGATTTATAATAGTAATGTTTAGCATTTTTTACTTCTTTTTTTAATGTATTGTCTGTGAAATTTATTTTGAATCATGCTGGGCTGGATTAATGTTCTTTTCTTATTATATAGTTTTTTATGTTGTTATGTCATATGATGCTACTGCCCTAACTTAAGTGGCCATTGTGAGATTAATGAAGTTGTTAAACTTAAACTTAGGGCTGCAAGGCAGATATGGTGGGAGGGAGAGTAAGCTACAGATCCTCATCCCAGAGAGAAATGTTTGGACAGCACAGGATGCTGGAGAGTTGACTGTGGCTGTTAGTCTTTGTTTCATTCCCCAGGAAGCTGTTTTCCATCTGTAGGGATCGGAACGGAGGCAGACTTCTGAATCAGGCTTTGTTCTGTTTGAATAAGAGCTTACGGGTTAAGACATTTTCAAAATAAGACTAGTCACTAGTACTCTCTTTACACTGTATGGATGGGCATGCCATGGCAACAAAATACACAAAGCTCATAATTGCAACTGTATACAAAGCACCTATGATTGTTTATACACTGGTCTAGACCCAGGGTTTTCAACAAGGGGTTCCTGAAGGTACTCCAGGGGGCTCACACTGATGAAAACCTTAACTTTGCTTATATTTGCGAATTAATAATTACTAAGGAAGTATAATATAACCTTCTAACAATTTTTAAAGAAAGTTTAGGGGTAATAATAATAATATGGAGAAATTAGCTTCAAGCAGCTATATATAAGCAGTCGGATCTTGGTAATTTGCACACTGTAAAAGAGACTTTATCAATGAAATGAGTGAAGGTAACTCTAAATTTACTGAAAGTTAATTCTACTCATTTGAAAAGAGTTTTGAACTCAGTGTTGAAGGTAATGAGTTAATTAAATACCCCATTAGGTCAACTTAAATGGAATAAGTTCTCATAGCACAGTACTCATTTAGTTTAGTTTTTAACTCAAATGTTTTGTTGCAATCGGTTTCCTCAAACAGTTTGAGTTGCATTAACCTATTGGGTTTTACAGTACTCAGATGGTTTGAGTTCTCATTTATTGGGTTTTACCGTGCTCAAATTGCTTCATTTACTCAAATGGATTAAGTTCACAGAACGCATTAGGATTAGTTTTTTTTTACTTTTTTGGTTTGTTGCAATCGGTTTCCTTAAATGGTTTGAGTTACCTTAACTTTTTTACAGTGCAGATATTCCCAAACTTTAGTATGTTTGGCTATTTGTTGAAATATAATATATGGATGCATTGACAGCCTCTTGTATTAGCATGACCTTATTTAAATCAATACATGTACTATTCACCTATTTTTAATTAATCAATAAAATCTATCTTTTAATGTAATTATTGCATGCATGCAAATTGCTTATTCTAACTCATGCTAATAGAATAAAATGTATAGTACTACATTTCTCAAAAATACACTTATTGTAATATTTAATATTTTAATAAATATTAAATTAATGCATTTAATAAAATTTTTAACACTAATCTTCATGCAATAAAAATATTTTAAAAAACTGCTATTTTAAATAGTAGAATAAAAGTGTTTTGAATTTTGATCTATAAAAGCAGCCTTTGTGAGAATATGACACCTCCTTCAAAAATTGTATCCTGTAACAATTTAGAATTTCACAGTGTCCAACACTGCTTAAAACTCTTATCTTTCTCAAAAATGTCCTGAATTTGTTGCCTTAAAATTTAAAAGTTAAAAGTTAAGTGAACTTTGTTTTTTACAGTGTGCTTATTTATATGTAATCTACACTAACTATGTTTCCATCCACCTATTTTTATGTGCATTTTGGATATGTGCATAAAAAACAGTTGCTGCAAATGGCAAGATGCGTATAAATTTTGAAAATGCGCATAAAAAAACATGCGCATAACTGAGTAGGATAAACTTTTTTATTCCGTAAGAAATATTTTAAAAGTCCAGTGATTTTGTTATAAGAGATCATGTGATGATATAAATTTGTGCGAGCAGCTGGCTGGGCACATAGTAAAACATCTGAAATGTTGTTTTGATCATTCTAAAATGCCTTAACCATTTCAGTATTAGTGTCATTATATTATCAATTACCTCCAGAACTGTCAAGAGCATCTGTGCTCCGCGTCTCACACCTTCAAATGCCACCACATGTTCACTGTGTGTCAGGATTACCTTCAGAGACACAGGTCATTTATTAAATGAAAAAAAAGATTGACGCAGCTTCAGACACAGCAAATTCCATTTTTACTGCAGATATTTGCCGCCAGTTAATCAGGAAATAACAACTTTGTTCACTTTGACTCGTTGGATAGAAACTAGGCTTTAATTGTGCTTTATTTATCAATTTATTACATCTTTTATGCAATAATCCAGTTTTGCACATAAAGTTTTTTCGCATTTTTGGATGGAAACATAGCTAGTGACAATTTTGGCTATTTAACTATGCTTTAAAAGTAACTGACACAGCAGAACATGGTTACACTAATGCAACAGGTTTATTGTTAACCATGTAAGGCCTGTATTCAGTCACATTTGCCTGTGTGCTCTGCACAGTACACACTGTATATGTACATGTAACTCTGCAGTCAAAGCTAATTTGATAGGGGTGTGAAGTCAGGATTACACCAGCCTTCACCAGCCTGTGTGTTTGTGTGTGGCAGCTTGGTTCACACTAATGAGGAGGGGCGGAATTCAAGGAATGCCATGCTAAGGTTGAAATGAGAAGGGCAGGCAAGAGAACAAGGGAATGACGGAGCGAGAGGGGAAAAAAAAGTAAAAGAAGACATCAAGCCCTCAATGACGCAAGCACTGCTACTACATTTAAAGGGTAATAATAGCAGTTGTCCATTGGGGTAAATTAGAGCAAGTGTGTTCAAACAATGATTATTGAAATCAGGTAATGATAACACAATACATTATCAAAATGATGGCATAAATAAATACATACATACATACATACATAAATAAATAAATAAATAAATAAATAAATAAATAGCAATTACAATATGACTAACTGCCTTAAATAAGTAAGTAAATTACAGCATGCTTGGAAACTACATGTTTTTCAAACAACGATTATTATTATAATTTAATGATCTGGAAATAAATGGTATATTGTATAGGATGACATGTTGCATATGATAATGGTTTGTTGTCTATTTTAAGTGAGGGTATAATCTTTAGGCAAAAAAAAAACTATTTAAATTATATGCATCAGACAATCAAAACTGAAAATGCATAAAAATACTAATTTAAAGATCCTGTTTAAAATACCAATGGCATTTGGAATGAACACCTTATACTTGGCCCTTTCCAAAGGCACTTTA